ACTGTGAAAGAGTGGACTAAGTGGGAGGCACCGCTGGACTGGAGAACAGTGGCTGAACCTAAAGTCGCTGAAAGGTTTTGTTATACTGATATCTCATGAGACTCAGAGCAAGAGAATAATCTCTCAGTTATATTTTATCAGACACCAGAAAGGGTGAAGCCCAAATACTTCTGAAGAACCTGACCGGCTCAAATGAACACATCTGCAACAGATCTGAATGGCTGGTACCTGAGTTAACCTCACCTTGAGGACTCTTTGCCCTACTGAAGGACTAACTGTTAATGAATGATTCAAACTGGGAAAGTGATTGGGAGAAGAAAATTATCTTCCCCTCCCAATGGCTAGAAAAGCCAGGGGGTGGCCTGTGGTGCAATGGCTCACTTTTATATGGCCTTTCTCACCATGGTCTTGTAACTCCCACCACATGATTGGGTGGGACTCTGCAAATAAGGTAGTTGGCACCATTGTGGGGGTGAGACCATGCAAATAAGGCATACGGAACCCTTTTATTGGTCACTTTTGCCATCCCGCCAGGCTTTAAATGAGCCATCCCAGAGGCAGATAGGAGGGACCTTGCTACCACCAGGAAGAAGAGATGGGAGTGGAGAGCAGACTTTGAATCCAGGGTCCCTGTGCTGAGAACCTCCTAGAACCAGGAGACAGAGGGAAATAGAGAGCACTGTAATACTGGAGACGGTACAAGATGGTAAGAAGTAGCAGCAGACAAGCAGCGGCAGCAGAACAAGGAGACTGGTGTAAGATGGCGCACTAGGCTTCCTGGTTGACGGAGCAAGGTGGTTACAGTGGGTGTGCAGACCCACGGAATGACAGAGCTGAGTGCCTTCGGGCAGGAGGCTTCCTGGCAGAGTAGGATGCCCCTGGGCACTTATTGGCAGAGCTAACGAGCTTTGTGACACTTACCTAAGCAGGGCAGAGGTGGGGCTGAGGGAATAAAGGGATGAAGGGATGAGGAGAAGAAAGGCTGAGAGGCCAAGGGCCAGAGAGAGGCCTGCCTGCAAGCTGGCTGAGAGGAGGCTGTCCTGATCAAAGACCTATATCCTGAGTTGTTCTTGATCCTGATTTATAACCTATTACTTCCCTAATAAACCCATATCTATGAGTATGGTAGGTCAGTTTTGTGTGGCCATTGCAAAGAATTACAGAAACCATGGGAGAGATGGCTGGTGTCAGAATTGGTAAAAAGGTTGGAGACAGGAGGTATGTCTGATTTCCACCTCAAAGCAATCAGCCTTGGGCTGTTGATGATGATAACGATTCTCCTCACCCCTTGTGAACTTAGACGAGAAGGTTGGATGACGCTGCCTCCATTTTTATAGTAGCCTATATTCTAGGGCTAATTTAGCCTCCTTCTACAATAACTAAATACCCTTGTATCCAATGAGTCTCCAGTCTGGTTGGAGGGTATTAAAATGATTTCCAGTTCTGTCCAAACTGTGGGAACTGTTCATCTAATAGCTCCCTAATAATTGTTCTTTCCTCAGAAGTTGTTTTTACCCAGCTTCATGGAGTTTAACTTTGCTCGGGCAGAGGGGTCTTCAGCAACTCCTATGTGAATTTCTCAAACTCCCTCTTTGCATGGCTCCCTGCATTTAAAAATTCTGCCCCTCAAATTTTAACTGCCCATATTGCCTGAACTGTGACTTCTTTCGTCACAGAGAGATTGCTGGGCTTTTTTTTAAAGCTATGTTACTACTCCCTACGTTGCAGCCTGGATGTTGCCTTCACGCTTCAATGGATGGGAGGTCATAGTGCTGATCTGGTTTGCTTCCCTTCTCTCAGGGATCACATTCTGCTCTACCTATTATTACACAATGTCTACAACCAATTTCATATATTTTGCTTGGTTTTCCACACCTCAAAGTTTTATCAGTATGTTTTCAGAAGTAAGTAATAGAAAGGACAACTCAAAATGACTTAAACTACAGGCATTTATTATTTCATATAACAAGAAGTCTGGAAGTAAGGCAGCCTTGGAGTAAGTTAATTGAGAAGACCAATAATCTTATCAAAGACTCCAATTACTTCACTCTTCTGGCTCTGCCAGCCCCATTGAGAAACAATGGCTGAGTGTTTCTAAGCTACAGATGTGTATCACGTGTAGGTGCATGAAGCTTCACACCAACAAAATCAGGGCTCTGACAGCGGGGAAAAAAGGAAAAGTTGAATAGGCAACTAGAGAAATGCTGGTGAGGCAACCAACACTGCTTACTACATAGGTCCAATCCAAATACTGCTATTTCAAAAAGTCTTTTCTGTCCACTCCAGCCTTTAATAACATCACATGTATGGCTTATATGGCATAAGATTATGAAATAAGATTATCAATTATTTTTACTATTATCTAAGTAGAGGAATGTATTACAGTAGGTTTGCTTATACATATGTAATGACACCATGGGAATAAATATAATAAGATTATATCATTATATAAAAGAAGACTTATGAATTTGTATATATCTATATCACTTTTATGGATCTGTGCAAATATTAAGCTGCAAGAATGCTTAGAACAGTGAAATACTGGAAACAACCCACTTGTGCAACAATCGATAATTGTTAAATATACTACTATGTGTCATGGATTGAATTGTGTCCCCCCAAAATATCTGTCAACTTGGCTGGGTCATGATTCCCAGGTTTGTACGACTGTGTACTGTTTTGTAATCTGATGTGATTTCCTTATGTGTTATAAACTCTACCACTATGATGTAATAAAATGGATTAGCAGCAGTTATACTGATGAGTTCTCCAAGATTAGATAGTGTCTTAAGCCAATCTCTTTTGAGATATAAAAGAAAGAAGCAAGCAGAGACACACAGAGACGTCATACCATCAAGAAAGCAGGGCCAGGCACAGAGTGTGTCCTTTGGACCAGAGGTTCCTGTGCTAAGATGCTCCCAGACCAAAGGAAGACTGATGCATCACCAAGGACATTTCTCCAGAGCCAAAAGAGAGAAAGCCTTTCTCTGGAGCTGATGCCTTGAATTTGGACTTGTACACTATTAGACTGAGAGAGAATAAGCTTCTCTTTGCTAGAAGCCATCCACTTGTGACACCCTCTTAGCTCAGTGGTGAGGTTACCTCCGAGGTTCACTGTTCAGCCTGGGAGGGGGCAGCCCCGTAAAACCAAATGAGACTAACGAGGTACAGGAGTCCAGTGACAAGGGCCAGAAAGCAGAAGGGGACAAGGAAGCTGGTGATGGAGAAACCCCGAGAGTATGGCCCCCAGACACCCTTTTAGCTCAGTGGTGAAGTTACCTCCGAGGTTCACTGTTCAGCCTGGGAGGGGGCAGCCCCGTAAAACCAAATGAGACTAACGAGGTACTGGAGTCCAGTGACAAGGGCCAGAAAGCAGAAGGAGACAAGGAAGCTGGTGATAGGGAACCCAAGGTTGAGTAAGGATATTGTTGAGGTGTTGTGAGATTGTTAACCATTGTCATAGGGCAACATTTGCAGTAAC